CGGAGGACAGCGGGCAGAAGGTGAGTCAGGGACAGGCAGAGAGTCAGGGAGTAAGCGAGGCGGTCAGCGGGGATACAGGCAGGGTCGGATAACAGGCCAGACAGGATAGTCGAGGGACAGGCAGGTAGTGATGTTACGTATTGCGCCGAGGCTTCGGAGCGTGTGTCGAGTAATCCCCGAAGCTTTTTGTGAAGCATGTATCGAGGCTTGTATCGTTTTGGGCCAGTGACGTCATCGATGACAAACGAAGCCTCGCTGCCTGTCGATACCACGTGACTGCTTCAGGAAGCGATTCTGATCGGTTGAACCGTTGAACCACAACGCTCATAATACCAATGGATGTATAATAAGAACCATATTACCCCTCCTGTACCCGGGCCCGGTGACACGATGGAATCAAGAGAGCTCAGACCCTCACCTATATAGAGGTCGGAACATGTCATAAGTATAAATAGATACAAGCATAAATAAATGTAGGAAAAAAAACATGAATGAATAAATACAGGAATAAATATGTTACAGTATTTTCAGGGAGATTCAGCGTGTGTGCTGTGGCTCAGCTGGAAAGCAGTTGACTCACGATCGTAGGGTTCCTGGTTCAACGACTCGTCGATACGTATTTGTTGTTGTTTATAAAAGCTACAGCTAAATGAGATAATGTAGTTAATAAATGTATTCTTTGATATGGTTTAGCCTTTCTCAGGCTACAACATGGTTACGTTTATGAATATTATTAAGGAATACAAATCCCTATTTATAATGTTTACCAGCCTCCTTAGGCTTTTCAATCACAATCATTCAACTGGAATAAAAACAATATTGTTAACATGAAAATATGATTTAATGTTCGTTGTTTAGAGTTATTCTAAGGCTTTACTCATTGGGAACTCGGTATGAGATACAGCACACTGTTGAGATGTCCAATCTGCCTGTTTTACACACTTTGACCAACAGGGGGTTTGTGTTCAAATGAAGCCCATGATGAAGCCTCATGAGATGAACCCTTTTGCGAACCAATTGGCTGGAAAGCTTCAAAGCTTCATAAGGCTTCATCTCGCCATCACTACAGGCAGGATCAGGGAACAGGCAGAGCAGGCAGATCGAGGACAGGCAGGGTCGGAACCGGGTAGGCAATCTAGTTTCAAACGCGGGAAAGACAAGTTGAGGCAAAGTACAATCTGGCAAAGAGTGTGTGTAAGGTGCGGGTTTAAATACTGGCAGAAGCTAATGGGTGCAGAAGAGAAAGAGAGTGAGCTAATGAGTGGGTGTGGAAAACAGGTGAGACAGGTGAATGGAAAACTACTGGTGAATGATGGAGCAGACTATGACAAGATAGGAACAACATGTTTCATATGCAGACCTTATTTTCCTGTTCCATGTTAAAATAAACCATTTTCAGTGGTACCGCTGAGAAAGAGTAATGTTTTTGGTCATGGAAAATTAGGTAAAGGTCATGGAAAAGTCATTGAAAATCATTGGTGAAAAAGTGTATGAACCCTGCACATAGCAAACATTATTTGTATTAAGCGTTGGTAGCAATTGACTTTATTGTATGCTTATAGATTAATATTTTACGATATACAAATATGTTAGAGTCGAGTTACTTGTAATATTGATTCAGGCAAATGCATGTGCTCCGAATTGAAGTGCATGATGCTGTAAAGTGTGATATCAAAGAAAGCTGGTACCTTCAAAAACATGCATTCAGAGCTTTTATCAGTACATAATTGTGTTTCCATCATATGGCCAAACCAGAAGAATAAAAGATGATCATTTAAATTACAGTCAATGTTATTTAATGAGAAAATTCTTCAGTGGCAGTTTAATGTGTTTTGTTGATCTCTGTTTGTATGCTATTCTGACAGATATTTTAGTTTTTTTGTCTAATGATAGTTGAGGTACTGTGAATGCTAAATTAAAGTATGCTAACTATCGGCTAAACAGTACACAGGCTAACTAACAGATGATGTCCATGTCCAGGATAACAGGGCCTCTGTGTTTGATTATAAAATGATCTTTTAGCTTGGGCTCACAGTAGGACTGCAGTACATGTTTTTGCCTGATGAGGTTAGTGCAACATTGACCATTAAAGGCATTATTCGCAAAACCCTATCAAACCAGAAAAACCATGGGTGAACCTGCTGCCCCATCAGGCTAATTTAGACAGTATCCCCAGACACAGACTGCATTCAGGGCACCAGTCAAACATTGGCACAGCGTCTGTCGGCATTGCCTGCTTTGTGACGTTGCAACGGTATGCATAGAATGCTAGTGCTTGTTAGCTTTGTCTGGCATATTTAAAATGGGATGCACATATACAGTCCATTGAACATTATTATTGTCTGTTGTAGAAGTCAAGAACACATTGTAACTACAAACGGGTCACACCCACACCAAGTGTAGACACTAAAAAGCCCATGTTGCTTTTGTTATAGAGCAAAATGGTCAGGAGGGGGTCTGAATGTTTTCGCACTGGTCACATGACGTACAGTGCACACGAACACTTGCTCAAATGAATAGGACTGATTCATCTGGCTGCCTCATTGCTCTCTGTTTGGTTCCCCTGGAGATGGAGACGAGCACCATGAACAGTGAATACTGTCTGTCAAAAAGCATGAGACCACATCCCCTGGCACTTCCCACTGTAATTCCATTCTCAGTGCTCTCAGTGACTGCACAATCAGAGCAGTGTGGCTGCAGAGACCGTCAATTCTCCTGCTTCTGTACTGAGATTGTGAGAAGGAAGAGGAGGAGTAAAAAGGGAGGGTTGGCAGTCTTTTCATGGCTCCATACTTATTTTTTCATTCGCCCATTTGCCCCTACCTTCCCTTCCTTCCTCTGTGGTGAGTTTGGAAGACATCCCTGACCTATCCTGCCTCTCTTTTGTTCCCTCCTCTACCTGTCTCTGCACAGAAAGAGCTAAAAAGCTAACGTTGGCCACACCCAAAGTGTACACATGTTATGTTGGTATGATGTACAGTGCATCTGCCGACACATCTAGCTGTCTGTTCTTATTACTAATCAACCGCCGAGCTTCTGGTGACCTGTGATGATCTCAGCCAGAGGTGCTGTCACTATTGTTAGCTTGCAGATTCTAAAATGGCTGAAAATCAGGTCACAGAAGAGGTGAAGTGCTGTGCAAGTGACAAGTGCGTCTCCTCCCGTCCCCCTGTGCAATACACTTTCAAATACGTGCATATCCTCACAAACACACAGGTTTCGTTGTCACCCAATCTGTTCTTCCCGATGTCGAGCTGATGGGTCGCGTTGCCTGCTAAAAAATCTCACAGTCTGTCTCCGTTTCCTTTTCTCATCCATGGTGGAAAGAGTAACACCATTCACAAGGGAAATGCTGCCAATCTATAGCTATGGCAATGGCTGGTGAGTTTGCCATCTGTGTTTGGCAATTATCAAGCCAATATTCAGCTTGAATCTTGTTCTGATCTGCAGATTAAGATGGCTGTTGATACAGACTGGGCAATGCTAGTACATGTTGAAATGTAGCTGATCTTTAGCCTTGTAGTAGAGTTAGTGTATGCCACTTTTATACTGCCATTCTACCATACAGGCTTCTTTTTCAAGTCTCCCCTGTTTTCAATGGCAAGTACATGCTGTGCTGAATTGAAATGGCTGATCAGTGACCTATTCAGATGTGCTCTGTTAGCCTGTTGTATTCACTTTGCTCACATTTGCATAATAAAGTGGCCACAGGCTGAGACATTGAAAACCAATGTCATTTTAACATTCAATGAAACAAAACACCATTATGTTTAGATAATAGTCACCAAAAGACAATGATGTTGCATTGTGACAAAACAAGATTACCATAAAATATCAGGTTACCACCCTGATGTGTTTTGCTGTGTGATTAACATCAAGACCCTTGGGGTTCAAAGCATCTCTCTCTAACCCACTGCCCTACATTTAGACAAACAGTCAACAGTGTCAGTACAGAAACACGGATATCTCTTTTTCAGTCAAAGAACATTGGCCAAATAGGTAGTGGAGCTGGCAGTGCTGTAAGTCGACTTTGCCTGCAGCATGCAAATAATTGTATCAACTGGCAATGTGTTGTACGTCATAATTTAACACAATCATCCTTGGAACTGGATGCCTCTTTCTAGTCACTATAACTCTGCCAACTCTCAGTCAGATCTGTGTGTTCTGTGGGAGGAGGGTCGGAGCGTAGTCCACCACAAATAGTCTCCATAAGGAGATGAGTTAACTTTTCCAGCAGGAGTTGGTGTTTTCTAAATCCCAGCAACCCATTTCACAATGTTTCCAGCTCCTGCAAACATGACCTTAAGGATATAATGGAAGCTATAAACTAGGACATGTTGCTTTTTAATGTGGCTGTGGGTCCTTGAGTGCAACAAACAGTATTGATGTGAGAAAGTTTTCTTTATTAGTGGCTCGGAATTGTTTGCTCTAAAAAGTTGTTTTGGTTGGTCAGAGAAAAACGTTTTAAAAGATACTGGTTGGTTTGTACTTCTTGTTAGGGCTGCTCGATTATGGCAAAAATCATAATCTCGATTATTTGGGTCAATAATTGATATCACGATTATTAAAAACGATTATCCATTTACTTTGAAAACATCCATTTATTGAAAAAAATAAATGTGAACAGTATGTTTTTAACAGTTGATTACCCTGAACTTTAAGTATAATTCAACTGAAAAACCAATACAATGTTTTTTTCATAATCGTTGCAAGCCAAAATCGTAATTGCGATTAAAATACGATTAATTGAGCAGCCCTACTTCTTGTCAGTGTTTTAAGGTGTTTTGCTTATTCTTTTCAACAAAAAATCCATCTTCTTGATCTTTGTCATTTAGCATGGAAACTTGTAATCTAAATGCTATTCATATCCTCAGAGGAAACTACTCTGAAGAACTCACTGTATTTATCAGGATCTAAAGTTGTTTTGTTATTTGTAGCTTTTTTTGTAGCTAACTTTTGTTTCACTATAGTAATCTTTCTTCTACCCCTCCTGCCTCTAGGTCTGCGAGTGGAGCAGGAACTAGTGACATCTTATCCACAGGTGGTGGTGGTGCGGGTGCCCACACCCTGGGTGCAGTCAGATAGCGACATCACCGTGCTGCGCCACCTGGAGAAGATGGGCTGTCGGCTGATCAACCGTCCCCAGGCTATACTTAACTGTGTCAACAAGTTCTGGACCTTTCAGGAGCTAGCCGGCCACGGAGTGCCTCTTCCTGACACCTTCTCTTACGGTAAATCAATAGTTGTCATCTTTTTTTCACAGTGTTGGTGCGTTGTGGTAGCACTGTGCTGTTGTAACCAAGTCTCTGTTCAGACCTGGCATTGACATGCGTCTTTGTTGATCCAAACACGAGTGGTCATCTCTAAGTAAATCAGTTTACAGCTGGTATTGGAAAGTATCTTTAGCGGCATCAGTTTCGTTTTCATATATCAACAAAACACATTTTTCAATGAAAAAACGTTTTGTTATTAGTTTTCTGTGTGTATACATTTCAGTTCTCACACTCACCTAAATGACATGCATTGACAATACAAAAACCTGCAATGACTAATTTAAAAGCGCCACAACAGTCTTTGTCTGCCTATTGGTGCGCTGTTCTCCACCCAACAGCGGTAACCGAGACGCACAAAGCTCCAGAGAGCCGAGGATAAGAGCAGGTGGTCGGTCCTCAGATCTGTGCAGAGCACCGGAACAAAAACACTGACAGTATGAAAACAACATCCAAACACAACACTCACTCTTGGTGGTTTCTGTGACATGAGAACGTTCAAAATACTGTTTAATACAGAAACTGCTTGAATACACCAAGCTATCCATAGCAAAGACCTTATTGGTCAAAGCCAGTGATTGATTACTTACTCTGCATTAAGCAGAGGATATTGGTTGATTAGACAGTTCTTTAATGTGGCCCATGATGCATTACTGCACCCACAAAAAAAAAGAAAAGTCCACAGGTGGCGCAGACCACCTCTGGATGTGTCCTGAGCAATCAGATCTCCATTCACAGCATTCACATGTGTTGTTATAGGTCACCAGAGAAGAATGTACTCTATACGCCTCCTTTGGGAAATTCGTTTTTTTAAATGTAATTTTACCTAATTAAGAAAAACACACAAACAGGAAGTCAGGATGATGGGTCTTAGCAGGATAGGTTTGGTACCTTGCTCTAGGGCACATCAGGAAGGCCCGGGGGTTAAACTGCCACCTCTTCAGCTTCCAGTCCACACTCTGTATTTGGACTTGATCCGGCTACCCTCCCGTAACCAAGCCACGCCCCTGTGGACAGCATCACTGCAGTCAGTTAATGAATGTGGACGCATCTAGCTTTATTAATGCTTCCACTTCCAAGAGTCCACACTGCATTTCACCTGATGTAGGGCCCTTGGTGTTCAGTGCTTTAGCATGCAGACTGCTATTGCCTTAGCAGAGTACATAAAGTGTTGCATATTCTGCAGATGAATTCATTATGAAATGTATCACTAGTTGTTGTTATAATACAAATAGATATTCTCTGTTAGTACCGATAAACAAATTCTAAGGTAATATAACTGCACCGTCCTTAATGAAATGGATATGAGCATAAACAGCAGCACTGCTGTGTCACGTATGTTGTTTTTCTGACATTTCAATCACATTAGTTGCATCACAGGCTTTAGTCTGTATAAAAGGATTAATAAACCATCAGTAGCTCATTATTCTGCTGCGATGACTCAAACAACAGAGAGAAGATTACATTTACATATCTGGTCAAACCATTGACACAACCTAAAGACATGAAGGGAGGCAACATGAGCCAGACTGCTGTTTTCATTTGTTGTAGTTTCTGCTTTCCAAAAATCCCCAGTGCTGTGGTGTTTGTGAGAGCAGACAGAGAAGGGTACAGACAGAAACAGAAAGAAAGAGGAGGTGGTGTTTGGCCTACATTCCTTTCGTCTCTGCACAGTGGGCCAGGCGATGCATGCAGAGCGGCTGGAGAGCCTATGGAGAGCCCCTTCTAATCGCCCCACCCCATGGTTTTTCAAAATAAAAGATGCCAACGCCTCCCTCCTGCTACCTCTGCAGCCAATGGCTGTTCCCACATTGGCTATCCACTCCCTCTGTTTCCTCTGCTGTTTCTCCCGCTCACTGAAAACACATGTGAATCAGCGCACCCGTGTGTCAGAACAGTTCACATCTGTTCCGTTGACCGAATGCCAGATAAGAACAGACAGGCAAACAATGATCGAGAGAGGGAGAGGAGTGGAAATGGGTTCTTACACATTTTTCAATCACTTCTTGAGCCGAAGTAGAGAAAGCTGGATCACATCTGCTGCTGCAAGCTGCCTCTCTCGGTCACCGTGAGATATGGTCAGCTGCTTCACATTAATGCATCCCTCTGTGACCGCTTTGTTCCAATCTCATGAATCAAGCAGCAAAATAAGTATAAGCTCAGGACAGCACTCCTACAGCCTTGCTTTATTGAGTCACTTCTGTTGCCATAGCGACAGGCTACATTCCCTCCCCCCACCTTGTTCAGATGGCGGTAATGTGTGAACCATGCTATCAAAACAAGAGCTTTGTTTATATATATTTCACCCCTCTGATTGGCTTCATGTTTCTGTGTTTGTGTGCATGGGCATTTACCAGGAGGGCATGACAACTTCCGAAAGATGATTGACGAGGCAGAGCCACTCGGCTACCCCGTGGTGGTGAAGAATGCACGGGGCCACAGAGGTAAGAGCGTCAGTCTGTTTCTCCCTGTCACCAGCTCTGTTCAACACACCTCACCCCAAAAATCAGTACGCAGCTACTGGCAGCTCAGTCCACTCTGACATGAAATTCATTGTCAGAGTGTTAAATGATTTAGGACTGTGGTGCTGCAACAACCCAAAAAAAGCATGTAGTTGTAATGCTTGCATCATGGCCGCTGGGCTAATCATCTCTGTTCCTGCTAAATTGGCCGTAGTTTTCTCATTTTGAGTGAACTCACAAGGGGCTTGTGGAACATTCTAGCTTTCCCAATAATGTTGGAGATGAGCCCCAAGTGTCTGCTGACCCATTAGCCTTTCCCTATTCAAATTATTGACACTTGCCTAGCGTGCCAAGGAATAACAATGCACCATGGATAGCCCAGGCTGCCGGCACAAGGCATTGATGGGGAATGCAACTTGAACCTTTTTATGGGGGTCTTCCTCTCAAGGGTTGCTTTCCTCCCCTCAGTTGTTAACCTTTGTCATTGGCCGAAGTCCAATTCCTTCTCTTGAGCAAATACAAGGCCTGTTAAAAATATTTGAAGGGTTGTTTAAAATCTTAACAACCCTTGTTTTTAAAGGGTCAACGCTAGATGCCAAATTGAAATGTTCTTGCTGGTCAATTCTTTTGAAAGTGCTTCAAAATCTAGTATATGGATTTGTGGGCAGCTCCGCATGTTTTAGTACCATCGATACAAAGTAGTCATGTGTCTCACTGAGCCCTGAACAATTTCTAAGCATGCTAGCTTGACAATGTCCTTCTTCACATCTTCATGATGTTACCCAGGGATTGCTTTGTCATCTTATTTGGATCGTCACCTACACACAATGTACAAACGCACAGCAATCACAAGATTTCCCCCAGTGCCGGATGAGGGCTTGACAACAAGGAGACGAGGCCAAGTGGTACTAATTAAAACAGGCATTCTCTATCCTATGTGAGAAGCAATTCTGTGGCCGCTAAGAGGAGTGTCCCATCCATTATACAAAACGCAGGAACTGGCAACAGACTTAGTCAGCAGATGCTTCTAATTGTCAGCAGAATCGAAGACAATGCATCTTATTTTCATGTTAAAAATCGACATTATAACACACATCTCAGACCCTGCAAGCATGCAAATATCTTTGTTATCCTGAAAGTAACTCATATTGATTTTTCTTCCTTCATCTTTTGTCTCTTCCTAGGCAAAGCTGTGTTCCTGGCCCGAGACAAACACCACCTGACAGACCTGTGCCACTTGATCCGCCACGACACCCCCTACTTGTTTCAGGAGTATGTCAAAGAATCGCATGGCCGTGACGTCCGGGTGGTCCTGGTGGGCGGCCGTGTCATCGGCTCGATGCTACGTTGCTCCACGGACGGTCGCATGCAGAGCAACTGCTCTCTGGGTACGCAAACGCCTCCGAGAGCCAATGATGACACACTGAATTACTAAACTATTGAACACTGTCACACACTAATTACATTACTGAGCTGCCCCCCCCCCTTCCCCTCATTACAGTTACCAGCACTGCCACACTGGAAACATTTTCTATTGCGTTTTTTTTACTCTGACATTTTGAAGATATCCTTTATGATCCCAAATTGGGAAATGTTTTTCACAGCAGCATATTAAAACAAGGCATTGCACATCATTTGATAAATAAAAATAATAACAAATAAACCAACATAGAATAGAAGCATCTCAAAATAGAAAATAAAACTGAACTAAAAAGTAAAATAAATACTCTTTCTACTGTGAAAGACAAACATCAGTAGACTACCTGTCAACTAAACACTATTAAGGGTCAAATAACAGCTAACACATTTTAAAAGTAGGATATTATTAACAATAAGTGTGCAAGGAGTAGCAAATTAAATACATATAAATGTGAAATATACAGTGTTAAAAAAAGTCCAGTTATAAATTAAAGACAGGCTTTAATTATTTAAAAAAGAGCCGTGTGGCACATTTAAGGTGTCATGGCTGCTCTTATCATTCCTGTGTATGCGGGTAATATTTAACGGTCATAGCATTTTTTTTATTGTTTATCGAGAATAACAGTCCATCTGCTATATAAACCAGTTTTTGGAATCGTGGCCAAGTCAACAAGCTTGTCCCGAATGTGCCCTGCAGACATCGAGTGAGACAGCATTCCAGCTGATGAGACTGATTTTGCGTGACAGAGTATGAGCAGTGCTGCTGGTGAAGGCTGCTTATTGGCTGTGACATATTTAGGACGCTAGTAAGCAGGTTGTTCTGCGTTTATGAAACAGATCGTGTAGACAATTGCACTCACTGTATGTGGATCTGGTGTTGTATTTATATATGTATCAGAGTTCTCACATATTTTCCATGACCTTTCAAGGACACACTACAAAATGTCCATGGTGAAGTAAACCAACAGAACTGTGACTCCAGTTGGAACAGCAACCTTTTCAATATCTTATAGGTGTTTTATGCCCATATTAACTTCATATACTACGTCAATACTTCAAACTAAAGGCACAGTGCATAAATAGTTCTGTGTTTACATCACTTATCAGTCTTCACTGGCTTTTAAGCATGAGGCCAAACAGAACCCACTGTACGATCAGTGTATTCAAATGCATTTGATAAGACTCATTTCTGGATGCAAGTCTAACAATAAACATTGCCGCAACATCATTATGTAGCTCTTCACAATTTAATTTATACTAAATTATATATATATATTTATATTATTAATATTTGCTTTTACCACTTTCATTACTTTTCCTGGCCTAGAACATATTTCTTAAATCCTCTGCAAACACTGTATGATAGCTCTTGTTTGATAGTAGATTATTCATGACAGTCAGGAGGTTGAAATGAATGAACCTGGTTGTTGTGGGTATTAACCAGCGCGATGTCTCTGTCTGGACTGTTAGGGGGTGTCGGTATGATGTGCCCACTGAGCGAGCAGGGGAAGCAGCTGGCCATCGAAGTGTCCAACATCCTCGGCATGGACGTGTGCGGCATCGACCTGCTGCAGATGAACGACGGCTCCTTTGTGGTCTGCGAAGCGAACGCAAACGTTGGCTTCATTGCCTTCGACCAGGCCTGCGGCATGGACGTGGCGGGCATCGTCGCCGACTACGCCCTGTCGTTGCTCCCCAGCCGCCTCACCCGTAAAATGTCCCTGCTGTCCGTGGTGTCGAACACCAGCGAGACCAGCAGCGAGCCCGAGGTGTGCCCCGTGCCCACCGGGGGTGAGGGCTCGCTGCCCGAGGCCGTCTGCAACATGTCCGTGGGTTCTACCTCCAGCGAGAGTGACCCCGAGCTGGCGGAGCCCTCCCAGTCCTCGCCCGCCAGTCCACAGCCCCCCCCCTGCCCGACCTCCCCGATCCAGCCTACAACTTCAACACTCTTCTCGCCAATGAGATCAAATTATTGACTGAGTAAGATGCAAGCAGCTTCATGCACACACACAAACACGACAAATGCATATGAAGAATGAGCATACACACACACACACACACACACCTGTACGCATGGCAACTGACATTCCTTTTGTAAACACATATCAATTCAAAAACCCTTCAAACACGTTGTTTAATGCAAAACATGAGCGGTGAAAACACATTCAAACACAACCACGGGAATACAAACACCAAAACATGAGCCTTATCCTACTAACTCCCTTAAAAAAAAAAAGAACAAAAAAAAAAAAGATCTGAGGCTGCTCCCCTGACTCCGCGCTCTCCAAAACTGCAAACCCCAATTTTCAAACTTAGCTTACACTGCAGCATGGTGGCGGGAGTGGGATATAGTGCATACGTTTACTAGTTTCAATTTAGCAAAAATACTGAGGGTGAAGGTGGCGTTTCTTGGGGTGGGTGTGGGATTCCAATAAAGGCATGCACCTGTCATATTGTTTCCTTACTACACCGTATTATTTAAAGGAGAGTCTATGGTATGTTGTCTTAAAAGAGGGGTTTCCTGCTGAGACTAGTACGGTTAGATGGATTGAAGTCGAGATGAAGTGTTTTTTTTCCAAGTCATTCGCTCCTTGGGAGAGCGATACATCCTCATGCTGGGCACATTACCCTGACAGTTCTGATGTAGCCATGTAGTGCTCCTGTCGAGGGGCAGAAACTGAAGCTAGGCAAATGAAATGTCAATTTGACTGCTTTTCATAACGAGAGTTAAATTCACTACACCTTTCATATGTTGTAAATCCAACTACAACACAATGTTTGAACTTTTCTACAACTAAAATCCATTAAACGCCAATTTTTAAATATTAAAATGTAGCCCAAGTTGCTACATTGACACTGAATAAGAGGTTACCTTGTTCATGCGTTATATTATCAACCCTCTGTTCACTGTGAATGAAGCAGGATATTAATGTAAGCAGAACTGCGCTAACCGGTGTGAAGTAGTAGAAATAACAAATAGCATTTCTGTCTGAGTCACAACCTGGAATATCAAAATGAATTGAGTGCAATGACTCCATTTTTTTATTTTATATTCCTAGCCTGTTTGATAAGCCTTACCAGCAGCAGCAGCAGTTTGTTGCTTTTTAAAAATATAAAATGTCTAGCACTTTACGATAAACTGATGTATTTGTTTTCTCGCTCAGCGGACATATTTAGGAAACACGAGACAGAGTGTGAAAGCTGCGTCCACACCAGAATATACCTCAGAACAGTGACTCCTCACTGCCATAGCAGGACATAGATATTCAAACATACAGAACATATCAGCCGGGATGCTTGTGGTTTTCAAATGGCCCCTGACCCAGGTGTTCCTTCCTTTATGTCTAAGAGCTGTAAGTGTGTATTATTTTGTATTGCTTTACAGCTTTTTTTGTAAATATTTAGATAGGGATTTAGCTTCGATGCATACTAGTATACAGCTGCTGAAACTGGAACGGCTGACATAACTGCCAACATTGACATTTACATAAGCTATTGTGGACAAACTTCTTTGTATAGACCTGCCATCTTTAAAGGTTTAAAATGAAATTTGGTGCTAACATTTCTGAATTTGATTAGATGTGTTTCCTCAGTCGTATGAGTTGTAGATTTTTTTTTATAACAATGAAGTATCCTAACCGTTAGAATATGTTGGCATAGTGTACAAATAATATGGGATTTATATTTTTGCCGCATCTTTGAATAGAATGTTACTTTTTATTTTTCTTGGAGAAGAAATGGAAAAACAAAATCCAGGGATTTCAGCGGCCAAGAGCATATTGCTTACGGTTTTTGTGTTCTGTTTATTTACCTCCTGTAGGCCTTCTGAAATAACTACTAAAATAGAGGTAGGGCATGGGCTAAATGCCATTCATTAGGACAAATGGGACAAAAGCACAAACATTAGTTGTTCTCCATAGTGACGTCCATGTTTTTAGACTTATAATAACCCTTCCTGTTGAACATATCTCAGGGAAGCAGCCTGGATCTCACCCCTGACCCCCAAAAGCACGACATATCCATTCGAGCTAGAGACATGCAAAACATTACACATAGCTACAGGCAGACAGAAAGATACACAAACAACAATAAATAAAAGGTTGTGAACTACAGTATAAGACATGTGGTGTATACCATGGTTACCATTCACCTTTTCTCCCTGCTTGTTTTATATTGTTCCTTGTTTTCTTCCTAATTTATGGTCTTTTTAAAGAAAAAGTGGTTTGTGTACACTAATGTCTCAATAAAGTGAAACCGCTGTGAAGCTTAATAATATGTTCCTCTTTTGTGGGCCGAATTTACTAACTGCCTGGGTTCTAACAGGGGCCTGCTTGAGAGTGCCACATCTAAAACCGCCAGACAACAGGAAAGGCAGCTTTCACTCTAAGTCTGCTGTCAAGTGATCACAGTGGCTCCACTGAGAGAATTACACCGTTTACACTACTGTGCTGATGGTGTCCGCTATCTCTAGTATCTGACAAACAAACTGTGAAATCCGCTGATGTCCACTGTCCTGACATGCAAGGGGCCGGTGGGCTTGATTATCAACAAGTCCCATCCTAAAATAAAAGCTTATATGAGTATCTCCAATTGTTGTCCCCTATTTTTCAAGTCTTCGTCTTTTCATTCAAGCCTTCGTCATCCCACATGGTGTATGTCAGTGAAAATGTCAGATCACATATCCTTTGAAGACATAACAAGCCAGCCATAAGAAAGAGTGAATGTGCGTATCTCTCTTGAAGCCCTGTTGTTTAAATCTGTAGTTTACACATCATCCATATCCACACAGTGCACATTCAGCCTCTTCAGGTTCATTTTACTGTGCCCCAACAACTGTTGTAATGCCTTTTTATTGCCTGGCTTCCTCTGGGAGCAATGATTTGAGGATCAGTCGGGTCAAGATCCCAATTCAGGTGGGTTTCTTTCTTCTGCTTTGTATTCGTAGACCAGTGGCCATGATACACGGCATGGAACCTACTGAAAGAAACGGGCACGGCATGTTGTGACACAGGGAAGGAAGAAAAACGTGTTAATCATGAAATGATGGAAAGTGTATTGCCCTGTGGTGCTTGGCCAGCCTGGAACAAACATGAAAGGACCTTTGGACTAGTCACTGTGTACAACAACACAAAAGAGCACACGGTTACTATTTCATTCCAACTGCTGCTAATGTATATTTGGCTACAAAATTCAAAAGGGAATATGCGGAAATCAAAGTGTTTCCATGTTTTGCTGCCTCTCGACACATGAAAATGAATCTGAATGCCAAAAAACAAACATTTTGTTGTATAACTTAGTACTAGTAACACTAGTAGTGAGATGATTTTAAAAGTGATACTTTGTTTTGATAATGAATTAATTTTTCAGAATTGTATATAATATGTAGGATTTCTCAGCAATCACCAGGTTCATTTTATGTCAATGTGTTTTAAAACGAACCTGAGGTTTGCTAAAAGTTGACAACATTCTTTGATTTGCAGAAGGAACATGCAATGTTTATGCTCTGTTGATATATAGACATTAAATGTCTTCAATTACATCTGCATAGCATATGATGAATTGATGAATGGTAATGGTCTGCTAGGTACGAGGTGAGCAAAAACTTTGCAAGAAAAACTGTTGAAGCAAATGCCCTTGCCATGATTCTGTTCTGTATCATTCTAACAGTGTTACAAAACGGATCCAAAAGTCATGTTATTCACAAATGTGCAAAAGGATGTAAATATATATCCCTCTTTTTTTTAGAGTCAAATAAAGATGAGCATTCAAAACCAACCAGTGTTTACTCCTTTTTTGTTTCTACAGGGTGTCCGCGGGGTCTTAAAAAGTATTAAAAGTTGATCAATCAATTTAGCAAAAATGAAGGCTATTTAAAAGTATTAAACGGCATTTTCCAAGGTATTACATTTTGTAGCTTGTTTTCAATAAGTATATCAATTGTCCAAAGAGGTTGTATTCTAAAGTGTGCCTGAATGTAATCATTGCGTAGGTGTGTAGTGTGATTCTGTGTAGTTTATTTATGGAATCCCGTTGGATTTAACGTCATCTGAACAGGACATCGCGCGCTCACTGCTTGATAGCGCGAAGGTCCGTTTACGCCGGTTGTTAAACAACTTCGTTATAGGGGAATGCAAGTTTGCGTCCAAATGGTTGGAAGATAAGGAGGAAGGACAATCAATACTGTATAGTAAATGTGTCGCCAATGTAACCGGTTAAAACTCGAAGTGGCGATGAGGTGTTCAAATGTATGGAAAGGGTCTTAAAAGGTAGCTACTACATTTGACTTCCGGATTCCTGCATATATCCTGTTCTATGTTAATATCAAATGTTCTCTAGGCATTTTTATTTGCCTGGGGGTATTCGACTGAGCACAAATGTATTTTTCTTCCCCCCATTGTTTTTCATTGTCCGCTTACACAACATCTGGATAAACCCTAAATGACATCATAAACTCTGTACTCATAAACTTTTTATTTGTGACCAATTCAGGGGGGTTTCTACTTATACATGTGTGAAGTGGTGTGGGGCTAAACAGATGTCCCGGGGGTGTAGATCTCCAGGCAGAGGGCGGGGCAGGGCAGGTATGGGGACTAGCGGGCGGTGTGCAGCAGCTGCAGCAGGCCCTGGATGGGCTCCGTCAGGTCTGGTATCAGCTGGCTGGCCTGCAGGGCAGTGTTGCCAAATCCCAGTGCCTGGCACACAAACGGAAACAAACACTGCAGCTGTTAGACTCTCAGGGGAAAGTAAAGCTGACTTATATAATAATATCACTGAAAATTGGATTGCTATCCAGTCTTAACTTATCCCACTTCACCCCTCCGACCACCTGATGTATAGGCTGTCACACTGTCCTTTACAGTTTAGAACAAGAAGAAATATCAATAAATAATAATTGTTTGATACTGTTGACAAGACCATGCTCAGATGGAAACATGCCATCGCTATTCTTTCACACACACATACGGGTTTTGGGCCGAGGGCGACACCGTACTTCCGGTATCCACCATTTCACGCGAGGTGCAAGCAGAATATCATAGTCTATTGCCTTAATCAATATCTAGTCAACTCTAAAATACCACATATATGCATTGGCATGATAATATTATTGTGACAAGTGGGGTATTCACCTGGTGTTTCTAGAAGATAGACGTAGATGCTGCCAAAATCGACCGAAGGCCACTTTCGAGAGTCGTTTTTCCATACATCTGCAGGCAGTCTGTAAGGGCAATCGGACAACCCACACAGCTCTAGTTTACGCTGGTACCGACCTAGAGCACACCCCTCAAGTCCAGAGATGAAATCCGAAGACATGCAGCGATTTATTCGGTCGTTAATTCAGAAAAAAAACCTAGTGCGCTCTGCCTGGCAACATTACCTAGCTGTTTATATTAGCACCTCCAGGATATTAGCACCTCCAGGAAAATGGCTTATTTCTATATAGATATATGGCGCGCGTTGCATTGTGGGTAGCTCGTGACGTCACTGTGTGTGAAAGAATGTGGAATTCAGCACGTTTGCGGTGGCATCTATGGAATGCCTGCACTTTCCATGGATATGTAAGCAGCTGGGACTAATCATCGTGTATATGTATTGCTCAAGTTTTAACAATGTTATATCTACAGCTCTCTCATTTGTAAATATCCAGGCTCCTGTGCGGCCTTTTTTTTTTAGTTCAATAAACATCAAGAAAAAGTGAGAGTTGGACTGACCATTTTGTGTGCTTTGTGTCAGAAAATGTTACTGTTAACAATCACAAGTATCTCCCCTCTCTACCCTCTCAATCGGCATCACCACCTCTGTCAATCAAGTGTAGACCACTCCCCCACAAAAGTCTTTAAAGCTCCGCCCTTCAGGCCGGTCACTCCCTTCCTACCCACCAGAGACTGAAGAACATAGGAACTGTGAGTTGGCACCATAGGGTTGGCACATGGAGCTGCTAATTGTTTGTACTTAAATCAGTTGATGAAATGTTTAGCTTAACTTTAACAGACTGTTTTGTTTATGTTAGATCCGCCTTCTAGATTCCCTTTGACCCACACCTATGTTTAAAGAAAATAGTTGAATCCTGTGGATCAGTGGTTCCCGACCTGGGGGGCGCGCCCCCCTTGGGGGCTCCAGGCCTCAGATGATTTGAGGCCAAATATCATATTTAGATTTTTCTTTTTTTTGACATATAATTGTAACTCAATACATGATTGTCACTAAAAGCCTTGTCTCTTCATTACAATAAAATATAAAACATAATTGATTAATTCATTTGAATACAAATTGAAGTTAGTAGCTATTAAAGGCATACAAATACAAAAATGTATAATTTTTTCTTTGATAGAAATGTTTCTTCTGCCGTAAAGTGTCCAAACCAGGCTTTGCTGGATAAGCGCATTTTTAAAACATAGTCATTGTCCATGCAGGTTTCAGTTGGATTATTTGTCACAGTTGCTCTGATCAGATCTGTCTCCTCCATTTTGTAGATTATTTACGACTTTTGAATCCACATAATCACATCGGCAAAATCTGGTTTACTTTGAGCATGTGTTTTAAACAGTTTAATCCCTTTGTGAATTGTTTCCACTTGCGCCGTCCTTTAATTTCTTCATAGCGGGAATCCAAATTAATTAATCCTGAGTCCAATAACCATCAAAGTCACTCCAATAGTGCTCCTTAATTACGCTTTCATCCTCCTTTAACAAAATACTTCACATTCATCCAGTTTGTGACAGTAGTTGCAGCACGTGTGTGTGTGTGTGGGGGGGGGGGGGGCGGCCCTTCCAACAGGAGTCATTTGGGGGGGGTTCTTGGGAAAAAAGGTTGGGAACCACTGCTGATGCATGAAATTATGTAAGTGGAATACTGAACCTTATTTATTATTATTAGTATTGTGGTTATTGTAAGACTGCTAATAGTTTGTAAATATCCCTTTTATTTAAATAAAGTCATCCACAGCAGCGAAACCGTTGTCAACCATCATTTGAGAATAAAACGTTAAACGGCCTGCTGGATCCAGTATTTAAATGTTCACACCACATGGGATGTTCGATGAACCACCATTCCAACAAATTATAGTTTCTTCAGTTACTGTAAAATAATCAAATGTACTTAGGCTAGTTAACCACCGTCCTGGTAGAATGAACCCGGATCCTTTGTGCCTACAGCTGCCATTTTGCCACTTGAAGTGGGTTCTAACAGCAGGGGGTAACATTGCTTTTTCGGCTCTGCTTGCCACCAGGGTGTATTTCACATTTTGACCCTATAGAAAAACTGTTGGTGAACTCCCGCCGTACTAACCCAAGACACCGTAAGATAAAACAATGACTGTAACACAATCAAAGTAACTAATAGTTGTTTAACTACGTTTGTATGTATGTGCTTGATCCTGCCCTATCTCTAATCTCTGCCTGCCCAAGACCCAACCTAGTTTTACACATTCACTTCACCATTGCTGCCTTGTTCTCTGAACTGGACGCACAAGAAATACACTCATTCACCCCACATTTAAGATGCAGTTAACACACACCCAAACATTTACCAAGGGCCTTACAGAGACTCTAGGTCAGTGACCACCAACTGGCGGCTCGCGGGCCACATCCGGTCCGCCAGACATTCTCATCCGGCCCGCACGACGGGGGTGACTGTGGCGTTGGCGGAGTGGTTACTGCGTTCGCCCCCCACCCATTTCTTTGTTTACAACGTCTCGTGAGTAAGGTGCAGTACCAGAGTCCAACAGAGAGGCAGCAGCTGCGGGACTGCCTACTGCGACACTTTCCCTCCCCTGAAGAAGAAGTGATCCTTCGTTGTGAAGAGTCTGGTTAATGCGCTCCGCACCACAGCAGTAGCCCCGCTGCGACAGAGTTCAACAGAGGCTGGAGCTGCGGGACAGTAGCCTAGAAGCAGGGTTGGGTTGTAACGGAATACATAACGGCGTTACGTAATCAGAATACAAACATCAAGTAGGCTAACTGTATTCAGCTGGCGTTACATTTGACAAACGAGTAATCTGAATACAGTTACTTTCGTAAACCTTAAATGGAGGGATTGACCAATCAGATGAGGCCCACGTGATGCCCCTGCCAAACCTGTGATTGGTCAGGGCCATGCCAAGGGAAGCTAGCCGCCTCTTGCTTCCCTTCAGAGGCGGCTGGCGGCTTGGCGATTTGATTGGACACTGCCATCCAATCAAATCACATCAACAATCAGTTTTAATACTGTAACTGTCATCACCCGCCGTTAGAAATGATCAAGCAAATGAAGCATTAATGGAGGGTGGAGATTTTGGCGTACTTAATCAAACATAACTTTACTAAACTTCCGCTACAGCAGCAACTAAAAATTAAATCAGATGAACAGGCAAATGCCCGCACTCGAGCTGTGTGTAACGCAGAGGAAAAAGGGAGAGAATCGGACGTTCAATGAGGACAATTATGTCCCACGGAGAGGCTAACTGGAAGCGCTAAACTTCAGCGTCTAATTTGCTGGCCATGTCTTCTTTTTGACAAGGATTCGTGCTCCTGAACAATCCTTGGGGCAACTTGTGAATACATTTTGGAATACTTATTGGAATTATTGGTGGAAAGGTTTCCTCACAAAATGTAATATTCATTACCGGCAGAACTGTGTGCGCACTGCACAGCGCTGCAGCGTGTCTGTGAGCGAGAGAGATGCAACGTGTCTGTGAGGCCCCGCCCCCGCACGCAGATGAGAGAGAGATCTCTTTTAAAATATATTGAAAGTTAGAAACGGAGATGGTTCGATAAAATGTGCAAGATAACGTTTATGTAGCATTTCTTTATTGTCGAAATGATGACATTTCATAACGGGATGAAATCAAAGTGAATGGCCTGCTGCTGCTGAATGCATGGGGCAAGTGACTGGAAAAAGTTTTAAAAGTTATTACATCGTTTCAGATAATAAATAATAATGATAATTCATTCTATTTAGGGGCGCCTTTCAAAGCACCCAAGGACACCTTACAATTCATAACATATTCAAAGGAAAGGTTTTAAGACAGTACAAAGAATGCAGTCCGGGTGATGTTTTTTATGTGGGGTGCAGATGAGGGAGCTGTCCAGAATGACACCAATGTTGTGTTTGAGTTCTTGATAAGCCATGAAAACAGTAAAATAAGTGTCTCCTGTTCACCAAAACATACCCATCTGTTATGGAAAAAGAAAGTATTCCAAAAGTAATCTGAATACTATTTATAAAATTATGGGCTATATAAAAATCGCTGGCCCGCGATAGTGTCTATTGGTTACATTTCGGCCCTTGGACAAATGTAGTTGGTGATCCCTCGGAGTGTCAAGGCGGTGAAATAAACTCCCACTAATTCCCACCTCATCTTTACTTTACCAATTAGAGTTAATCTCATCTTGAGTACGACCATCCAAAGAAGTAGCATACAGAGGAAATGGGGGACTGTGTCACTCTGTCAAACTGAACCTTTAATGCCTGGACGTCATCAGGGGTCTTACCTTTAGGGAGTCACCTGCTAGGAACCACAGCATGGCCAGGCAGTGAGCCACCAGTGCAATCTGAGCTGAGTCTTTTCTGGAGTCATTCTGCTCAAACTCCAGCATTGTTCTTAACATATCATCCACTTCAACTCGCTCGGCTTCATCTGATTAAAAACAATGGATAGAGAGAAGGACGTCCTTTTGTTTTTACAGTATTCAATAGGTCAACATACATTCTGATCTCTGTGCATCTTTTGTATAGATTGTGTAAGCATATTTCCTTCCATTCCCAATATTCCCTGGTAAACCTTCCAGAAAGCCTAGGAAATTACATTGCAGCTAACAGGCTTAGCATCAGGGCAGCAGCTGCGGTAGAGGGTAGCGGTGCGGATGCTGCACAGCCAGAGATGGTCTCTAGTCAACCCTGAGCATACTTGTGTTAATCTGGGGTTTAGTTTTTGGATTGCACAGCAAGACAGCTCAGATAAACCTAGGCCTTGTTGACCCTATTTGTTTAGTGATGCGATGGATTGCGAACATACTTTTCTGATTCTAAACCGTTTGAACAGTAAGTTGGATTTGGATCGATTGACAAAATCTAAATTTATGTTTTTTAAATTTAAATAGTTCTATATTACATTTAGATTTGGCTTATTTGATGACAAGACTCACCATATGGCTCCAACTCTGTGTCAGGACTTTGGACATTTTGTACGTGGGTGTCGAGGAGTTTGGTCAGATGGCAGTGCCAAGTTTGTGCCACCTATAATATGAACAGTAGAGGATAAAATATGAAACGCATAAGCACATTTCTTGGCCAAATTGCCTTGTCATAATAATGTCTGTTTTATGTTACCTCGGAGTACAAGGAACGAACAATAGGCAACCCCCCAAGTTTGGCATACACATTAGCCATGAGAAAGTATCCTCCACGAGTGACTGTGCTATCCAGGCCATACTCCTCACTGGCAAAGTATATCTGAAAAAAAAGAAAATTTGCTTGTTTTACAAGGTGCATTCATAAATAGTCAGTATTTCCAACATCCTGAGAGACAAACAATATGCGTGTACTAAAGCCATTGTGGTGAGTGTGTTACTTATGACACTGACATCATTTGCAAAGTTGAACAGCGCAGCCTCCAGGTTTCCAGTGGCTGTGTGGAGGCGACCCAGGCACCTGTGCAGACGTTGGTGGACCACGTGATCTGAACTCTTCAGCGCCGCCCACTCCGCCTGGGACAGGAGCTCCGCCGCCCAGGCTAGATTACCCATACCTGGAAAGCACATATGTTTCAATATAAGATAAATGCACATAGTCATGCGTTAAACACTTTATTTTGGAAAGAGGAATGGGAAAATTGGAGAAAGCAATCTGTGGTGTTCATCACCCATGTTAGCCTCAGCCAGCAGCAGGTAGGCTGGGACCATTTGGACAGATCTGGGGCCGTGAACATCTTTAGAGCAGCGCAGGCAGAACTGGGCCGCGGGCAGAGCTTCCTGGTGCTTCCCCTCAGACAGCTTACTCTGAGCCACCAACCTGCACATCTCAATCAGCTCCGCCTAGGTAGGGAACCAAAACCAAGGTACACTTCAGGTTAGCTACAGGTATATTCAATATAAGATGGATTATCACTTAAAGGTCACCTATTAGGCAAAATCCACAGTTTCGTGTCTTTTACACATCAACATGTGTCCCCTCCCCTCTGTGTAAAGAGATTCTGAACGTTTCAGGAAAAAAAGATTCGCTCTCTTTTAGTCCTGATCCATTTATATAAAAACCTGTCTGAAAATGAGCTGATCAGATTTTGGCCACTTTGTGATGTCATAATGATTTGGCTTGTGTAACCATTAGCCAATAACCAACCAAGGTAACCCCCCCCCCCCACCCACCTTATCACCCGAATCACCTCCTAGAGCACCATTGTGGTTTTTTTAACCAAATATCTCACAGAGGGGCGTGGCACCTTATTTTCATCTAAAGTAACGGACACTTTTGAAACAGGGCTGAAACAGAGTGGATTATGGGATGCTACAATGCACGATCTGTTTGGTATTTCGAGCCAAACACTTCAGAGACATGTTTTGGATACATCTGAGACCTATAATATATTGTTGAAAAAATAGTATAATAGGGGACCTTTAATCATTCTCTGTAAACTTTAAACTCAAAACAAGATGAGTCTGAGTGTGAACACCGAAATTCAACGCATATATCCTCACCTTTACAAGCTGTGATTGAATGCATCCTGCCTGCTGGAGGCTTAAGACTGTCGGGCTGCGGATGGTAACAAGCATCTGACAGATTCTCTCATGGATCCCCACCCAGTCAGCCTGCTGGTGCTCTGCATCACTGAGCAATGAGATATATATTTATTTAACAGATTGCAAAACTTCAAGTAATTTTTATGTTCCCACGCTGACTTACAACATCAAGTCATTTCAATATTGTATCCCAATCATGTCATATGCCTTAAGAGGCTTTGTGGCTTCAGTTGTCTTCTGTCAGTCACCTTACACAGTCTTCATCTCCCCCTGGGTACAATGTGGCTTATATTGGCTCACACATCAAGCCATTGAAGAAAAACCTCCTGTGATCTGACAACTGAGCTGTGATATTCACTGTGTCGAAGTGTTGAACAGTAGCCTCAGTAAGGATGGTTTTAAAGTGTACATCATACTGACACATCACCAGACAGATACAGTCATGTGAACCATTCACTTTCAGGGTTTTCCCTTTCATTCTAGCTATTTTTGGTCCCCACCTAAGATGAATAATGTAAGCTCTATGGGTAGAGCATTACTGTATTAATGTATTTGGCAGTGATCTTGTTCCAGAATGATGTGAAAAAAATATACTTTTGATTGAAAAACACAACATTTTCCTACACAAAACCCTGACAGTGAAATGTTTTGCCTACAGTGCATGACTTAGCTGAAAGGATAAGATTTAAAAACAGAATTAAAACAGACTTTCTATCCCATTTAGAAAATAACATCTGAGTGCAGAGAGGGCATACTAAATTGTAGGCCATTACATAACAGGTCTGTAATTTTGTTCATCTGACTCCCCTCTGCTGCACACTGTATGGAAACTGTCTTGGTTTTTCTAACTTAGGAGCATGTGTGTGTTAATGCCAGCAAGTCTGTTTTTCTGGACTTGAGACAGAAGCAGTGATCTGGCCACGTCACATCGACAGTAGCACTGGCAGCCGACACACAAATCATGGGGTCTTCTCAGGCCGCAGGGGCAGGGCTACTCGACTTTATCGTCTCTGCTTTGATTTCATATAGGCTACTTCTCAATCTGCCTAACACACACATTAGTTATTATAGTAGGTGCCAGCAGCATGATAAGATGTAGCTCATTAGACCTCCAATTAACCGTTTCACCCCTGTATGAAACATTTGGAGCAAGGACTCGAAACACAGGGAGAGTTCGAACTGATGTCAGACATTAAAGATGTATTGGAAGTTATCAATTGACAAAGATAGTTTCGGGAGCAACGAAGTGATACAGCTCCTGACCAAACAATTCTGAAGCTCTATCACCCAGTCTCTAGTATTTAGCTATAGTTCTCAGAGAATCATCAACATTGGATAACCAGTCAAAGCAAGCTCTGCTCCTGGCTGGGAGCGATTAGCTTTGGGGAGCCACACTATAAAATGGATTCCTGGATGTCCTCACTGCTCTCTGACACTGTGCGTCAGCCTTGTCCTGTTATTATCTAAAAGAAGAGATTGTTTTATGAATGTTTTGGGCAAGCCTAATCAACTATCTGGGTCATACCAATACACAGCTGTGGGGACAGAATGTTAAAGCTCCAAGGCTGTAGCCTTCATTAGACAGGGTGGTGAGAGGAGAGGCAATTGAGGATTTCAGCGATCACCATGTTATGATCTCTAGAGTATGAGGAGATGTCCACCTACGCCAAAGGTAATATTGGCTTACATGCATCAAATAAAAAGCTGAAGTTCTCAAACTCAAATAGTCGAGCAGACGCATGGAACATTTCCCCCGTCGCATGAAAAAAAAGGAATTTGGTAATTTGATTTCCAGCTGTTCCTCTCTTCATCCGCTCCCCCCTTACGACACGGTCACGTGACCGCTCTTCATGCCGACGTGTTGATTTGTGCTGTGAAACAATATGGCTGACACTGCCACCTAGCGTTCAAACCGGAGACATGTTTGAGCAAGCTGACAAACGATGAACACAATATTTACTTTGTGGAAAAGGGGAAGAAGTACTCAGATGTTGTACTTTAGTAAAGTAAAAGTACCAAAGTGTAGGAATACTCTGTTAAATGTAAACGTATTGATGCATTAAAGTGTTATCAAAGCTGGTAAAGGTGTAGCTAATTGTATATACTTTGTTTGTTGCAGGATAGGCTAGTGAATGTTACTCCAGGTGCAACTAAAGTCTTATTTTAGTCTTGATTGTATTTCACATCATTAATCCAAATCTGAAAAAACTATACTAAAGGTATTTGTATATTTAAGCACTTTGTAACAATGTTTTGAAAGGTGCTATGAAAATAAAGTGTATTATTATAAACACATTTTTGTGTTTAAGTAGTGCTTTAGAAGTACAAAGTAACAACACAATTGAAATACTCAAGTAAGGTAAAAATCCCTCAAACGTGTAGGCTACTTAGCTTGTATGCTACAGTAGGCCTACTTGAGTAAAAGTATACTACTTGGTTACTTTACACTAAAACTTTGTGGCATTTGGAAATGATGTGATGCACTTAGAAATATATGGCTAGAGAGTCATGAACAGCCTTAGACGTTTAAATATAAAATATATTTGTTTTGATAGTTTAAACTTACCAGTAAAAGGTGACCCGACATTTGGTGCATTGCAGGTGCGCTGTTTTTTGACAAAGTTCACACAATTTTTCCGTTCCTTTGGGTAAAGCAAGGGAAATTATCTTGGATGCTTTCCCCAAAACACGAGGACTAGCTTCCATTATAACGAGAAATGGCTATAAAAAGGATACACACAACACACCACCGGTATTATGCTAGTTTTCAACATATAATTAGCTGATGAAGCTAACGCAGTTGTTGAGAAACTGTAAGTTTACTGTCGCTATGGCAACGACGTCAGTAGGCATAGTTTCCCCTCTGCTGGTAAATCTGTTACAAAAGCCTTAAAAACATGAAAACCTTTATAAATACAATTTAAAAAAAACTGGTGTAGATACTTTCATTAAAATAAATGTCCTACATTTGCTCAAATACCGTTTGAAAGGTGTTTTACAGATTTATTTGGTTTCAAGTGTGCAATGTATTATCACATAAATGAAAACAGTGGACTTTCACACATTGTGTTTCTTGGAGTGATATTTATTGAAAGATGTTACTCAATATATTCTATATAAGCTTTAGGTACAAAAATAGATTTCCAGTTTGCTCTAGAAAAAATATATAAAAGCAATTAAAATGCCGTAGACTATATAGAGCCTTAAACTAACAAAAATACATTAAACTGATTTGGTATTTATCTTCCTTGGTCATAGGCATTATATATTGACTTAATGTTGAGGATTCAAAATGTCGTCAAGGGAAAAACAATATACATGTAGGCCTAGTCATTTATAATTAAAAAAACATCACATTAGTTGAAGCCTGAGCAAAGATTTGTGAGTCCTGAAAAAATACATTTCTGATTAACAAGAAGTCAAACCAATTGTTTTGTTACTTCAAAAGAAGAAAAAAACGTTGTGTTAGACATTGTTTTCATTTGTCTGGTCATTCTTTCTTACGCAAGTGGATGTATATGACCCCACTAAGCAGCAACAAGGGGACACACACCCAGGCCAGGATGAAGCAGTAGCCAAAGTGTCCTGATGTCAGCTCTCTGGAGTCCTGAAGGATTTCCCTATTGTTTAATGTGTAGATGAGAGCTGCAGAAAAGGCAGTCAACCCTAAGAAAAGACCGTAATAAGTTTAGTTTATGAATGGGATGTTTTAAATAGTATGTTGGTTTGTAACATCCTTTTGTAAACAATGTCATAAGCATTAGAGTGATAGCAATGTTGACAGGGGACAGTGTGACAAAGTAATGAATACATCACTATTAACTTTTACTTCTGACTGTCGCAATAACAGTAATATTTCAAAAGGAGACTAAATGTGTGGCAGTGTTTGAAATAATAATTATATATGTTCACCAAATAGAGTTATATTTGATTGCAGGTTAGCCATAAGGCTGCACATTACTAGTAACCTTGTTCAAATGTAATCAATGTAGTAATTTAATTATTTTTCAATGAATTCATTAAGGTTATTTTATTTAACTTATAACATTTTAATGACTTATCAAATATTTTGAACTGGGCTTTTTTGCTAAAAAGGCTAATAGTACTCAACACTTATTACAGTCAAACATTTATGACAAGTCTTTCTCAGTTTACCTTGATTTAAATTGGAAGCGAGCAACAGAATACATTTCACATTCTTCATATGAGCTTTTTATATAATACTATCGAAAATAATACATTTGGATGAAACCCCTATTGTAATCTCCAACATTTCTACCAGTAGCATAACTGATACTAATGACACATTTTTCTCATTAAATTGAAATGTATTTTGTTATTTAATTACATAACTAGTGGGGAGTAACTAGTAATTGTGGACTTTATCATAATAAAAAAAGCTTGAACCAATGCAGCCATCAGAAAAACGTTATGCACAGTCACAATACTCAAGTAACACTGTTGAAATAAACTTACACATGTTATATATAATATTTAGCTTATTTCCCAACCATGAAATTTATATTTGTAAGAGAAAGTGTCATCCTTTAAAATTGTCCCATGATGCACAAAGCGGTCAGAGGGACATTGTTTCACTCCAGTGTTACCTGCAAAGACTTGACACAGCCCAGTGAAGTAGAAGAGCCCGCCTTTAGATATGGTGAAGAGTTGACCAAGGAACACCAAGAAGGAGACTGAGGAGAAGACCACTGAGATAACCATCAGGATCTGCACTGCATGAAGCCAGTCTGAGAAAGGAAACCACATCAAAAGTGTTAGTTCTCAGATTTGACTTGTGGAAGAAAAATGATCGTGTGTGGAGGTGGACAAAATGACATTGTTTGTTACCTGTTTCTTTGGAGGATGTACACAACCAAGATCCTGTGAAGTTATCAAACCTACAGTTGTACCACAGGTCTGAGTTCTCCAGGCCATCCCACTCCCACCAGGACTTTAACGAGAGATTAGAGATGATACTGTCAGCTGGATATGTTGCATTTATGAGGTAATACAATAAAAGTCAACAATCAAGCCCCAGATATGAATACTACCTTCTCCATGGTAGCAATGAACTGCATTGCCAATGTGATGAGATGCAGCAGGGTCACAAACATAAGCAGGTACGCCATTTTCAACTCCCTGCCGAAAATAAACACAACTGTTTAAATAGGCTTCCAGAAAGACTGCATTCAACAGTAAGCGTGGAAATGCTTGCTTGTGACCAATTAAACTTGTTTACTGGGTCTCTATAAAAATCAGTAATTGAGAACTTTTCTGTTTTGCCCCGAAGAGTTAAATGGAAAATGTCAGTCGCTGAACAGAGTATACTGTGTTTTTTAAAGCCCACGCTTCAAAACAGGGGGCAATGAGTTATTTCTAAAATGTAACTTTGACTGGCCTCTGTGTTGCCATCATACAGCTAACCTCAGAGAACCTGGGAGGGCCTGTTGCAAGCTAAACCTTTTCAAAATATTTAACCAATAAACCTCTCCACCCTTCCAAATATATATATTTTGTATAGGGTAAACAGTATGTGATTGACTTAGATTTGGATTTAATAAAGAGGCACTACTTGTTAATTAAGAGGAAATTAAAGTCTGAGGAAAAAACAGGGATTTAAGAAAGCTATTTTCTATTAGTGTACGGTAGTGCACGAGCAAACACTAAATTGGCTACCAAAGCTTTAGTAACAACATTTTACTTCATATTAAGGAGACATGCAATGGAAAAGAAAAAAGACAGAAAAATAAACAGACGGACATAAATTGACTCTGTAGACCTTTATCTCTATGTCTGTTTGGGTGGGCGGTGGAGTCTTACTGTCAAATTATCTCATTACACTAGATTCCATCCATCACATGAGTCAAAACGTTTACATATTTAGTAATGGTTATGAAAAAAAAAACATTGTGTACTGTTACAAAGATGTGATGAGTAACGGTTTGTTAAAAAACGTTATATTGTATGGCAAACAAAATCTGTTATAATAAAAGCATGAGTCTTTTGCTATGCACCACTCCAGAGTCCATTAGGGAATGTGATGCAAGAATCACTACTTTTTTTGAAACAACTGGAACCATGATTTAACTAATAATATATAAAAGTCATATGAAATGTCAAGGAATGATGTACTCACACTAAGTATTGCCAGTCCCTCTCAATCGGATCTTAGGAGCAGCTTAAATGCAGCTTCACCACTCTACAGTTGTGTCCTTTCTGGTGGTCCTCTATTTTCAGACTTACCACACCCCCCTTATTTTTACAGCAACTCCATCCAAACTTTCCAAGGCACGCCCATTTCCTCTGTGCTGAACAGAGGACTCTTTAAGTACAACATCACCATCCAAAATAAGTGTTCCAACCATCTAAAATGGGATCCACCCATGGGCAGTTGAGGCACATAAAACCACATGAAAATAACTCCTCGGTAAACACTACACTTTGGATGCTTTTTTGGCATAATGACCATTCTACTATGCATTCGTGATCCCAGTTTTGTTATAGGGCAGATGTGAAGAATAAACACACAACTGCAAAATAACTCACATTTCAACACCCAGGCATCATGATTATTGTGTACTGGTCACACAGGAAACATCAGGGTGGGACTCACCGTGTAGGCCTTCATCTTTGATCATGTAGTCATTTTAGTGGAGGTCAAAGCAAAACAAGACAGACCTGAATTATAAGGTTTCAAAACATATGTACACATAAAAATATGTACATATGGGTTCAATAGAATAGGCAAGAATAAACATTATTTAACTTGTTTTTGTATGATTGATTATGAATACCTGTACCCCTTCATTAATTTAGGAATCAAACATTGTATAAATAGCCTACTATTGCTAGAGTGAGCAAAAATAAATGGTAGGCTACAATTATACAAATGATTCTGATATTTCACATCTCAGGAAATACTAATGTTTCTTTGTCGACACCTGGTGTTTAAATCCATACATTTATGAGATATCATCAAAAGTCCATTAACTATCAATAACAGTGAAGTAAATACTATATTGATACAGATTACACCACGTTACATACAGACACAGAAACATTCCTATCACTTTTGTTTACCTGGTAACAAAAGACGAAACCAATTAAAAGACCGTTTAATTGCATTCAACTTAATTATCTAGATTTTGTCAAACTCGTCAAAAGTACAACTTTTACCACATCTCGAAGCTGTCATTTACTAAAATGATATTCCCTGGGATATTTTTTTTCTAAACTGAAACAAACAGCGTAAAGTAGTTGGTTTCGTGCGGTTTCATGGCTGCAACTGTGCTGATGGATTCTCCCTGCATCATTTAATGGTACAGTCCGTTGCCTAGGTGCTTGTAGAAGCCAATCCGCTCCGCCACGCCTGTCCTCAGCACTTAGCTTTCTTGTTGCTTTTACCCTTTGAAAGGTGAGTAAAACTTTAACGGCACATTTTATACCCTGCTAAATCATTTCAAATAATGTAGCTATTCAACAGTAGCCTTCGGTTATCGTAACAATTCCCCATCGGAGAAAGCTATGGCTACCGTTAGCGAGCTAGCTTTAGCTGTGTGTGTGTGAAGTATACTATACTTATGAGCGAAGTTTGCTAACTAGCTAGCGCAGCGTGACTTCCCAGTTGCCCGTGTGGGTTATTTAGTAATTTACTTTAGCACACAAATATATTTACTTAATGACATGTTTCTGACCAGTGAGCTTGCGTTGACAAATGGAGTGCAAGTTGTCCCACAAAATCCCTCATTTTGCTCCTCGTCAGACATTTTGGGAAGAACAGTTA